CGTCCCAGGCCAATGGGTGCAGCGGGAAGCCAAGGACAGCACATCCCTCGGCCCATGCCGCTTCCCGCCGCCCCCATTGGCCCGGGACGGCGAACCGCGGCCAGTGGGGGCTGCGATCGGATGAACCTCCCGCGTCAGCAGGTAAATAAACTGGCCCGGCCTGCCAGGTGCTTTCCCTGGCGAGCCGCGTGCCGAACGTTGCCGACCCCTGCTCTACATGTACACATTTTTAGGTGACATTTTGGAGACAGGCCGGTCTGTTGTGCAGACTAAGGCAAGAGAAGATTAAATTGAGAACAAAATGCTTTTGTATGAATTTTCCCTAATGTGAACCATAAAGCAAAGAAGTCAGGCGGAATTTTCTCTTTGTTTTACCATCCTGGATTTTTCAAACTATATGATCTGATGGTCATATATACAAACCATCCTATAATACTGCACAAGTTCTAGTTGTTTGAACTGATCATTGTTGTTTTGAGAGCTGCCAACAAATCTATACTGATAAACTCCAATTATACACCTCTTCCACAGCATACGCTCATCATCAACCTTTTTGGTGCCACTGGTATTAAATCAAATCTATGCAGGGAGTTGTTCAGAAAACTGAGGCCTCCAAATGTAATTTGTGGAGTTGTCCATAAAAGCAGCAATAGCATCTAAGATGCCCTTTTTCATTAGCTGTTCTAAAATAGTGCTTTAAATATTACTCTCTGTTTCAGATGCAGACACAGCTCCAGGAAAGGCAAAGTCAGCAGAACCAACTGGAACAATACAGGAACAGAGTCAACAGCCCAACAGTAGGAAAGATGATGATGCTAAGTAAGTAATTACTATAAAAGATCGTTGATTTTTCTTCTTGACATCTGATAATAACTTTGCACTGCTGTGTCCTGTATTTAGGCTTGGCAGAATTTAATATTTAATTTTAATTTTGATAGATTGGATGTTTCTATAAGCATTTATTATTTTTATCAATTTCAATTGTCACAATTGCACAAAAGTATGGTTTTAAAGCTTTTTTTCCTATTTTTATTTATATTCCACAGTTGTGGGAAATTATGCGGGGGGTCAGCCATTATTTATTTAATGACAGTAGACATTTAGATTCAAAAGAATTAAAGCTTTATAACATGGATTGTATAGTTTAGAATGTGATGTTGACAAAGTAAATAACCTTAAATCAAACTAAGCTTTCAAACAGCTATTTTGCTCTGTAAATTCCAAATATCAATGAAAATATTTTTGTTGGTTTGTGTGTGTACAATGAAATTGATGTTTACTGTTAAAATCTAATCATTCCAAGCCTATTATATTACAATTCTCTATTAGGCCCTCAGATACCATGGTAATGACATAATATAAGAACCTGAATATATTACTGTTATTTCATGTAATTCTATGACAACCATCAGCATGCCACCACAAATGAAATTTCTCATGTATCATGTACTTTGGATAACTTCACCTGCACTCAGTATGCTAATCTAGCTATTCCCACCCACCTCACCCTCAATTCAAGCACTGATAAGAGCAATTTTCTGTCCCCAGTAAATTACTTTAGACCTGAGTTCCTCCTGTGCCACTGACACATTGGCCAGTCCAATTCCCCCACTGCGTACAGTCACTCCCTAGTTGTGGTACTTCTTTCCAGTTGAAGCCAGCACATTCAATATCCTCTAATACTATCTCCCATCAGTTCTTCCTTTGGCCTTCCTCACTTTCACTTTCCTCCCTCAGATACTCCTTAGCATGTCTCCCATCATTGATACATGGAGTACATGTCCCAGATGCCTGAGCATTCTCTTTTATGATATTTTCTAACATGTTCTGCTCTGTGAGCTCCCTTACTCTTACATTTGTTTTTATGTCTTTCCATAATGTGTGAATTATCTTCCTGAGCCATCTGTGATGAGCAGCCTCCAAACTCTTTTTGTTAGCTACTATCATTGGCTAGTCTCTGCGCTGTATTGTACTGAGCACACTACAATCAAATGGTATGATCTGACCTTTAGTTTGATGTGGAGACCTCTGTTTGACCAGATGTTATTCATCCTTCCAAAAGTGGTGTTTGCTTTTCCTAATCTCATAGGAAAATCTTTAATCACAGTCACTTTCAAATGTCACCACACTCCCCGGATAGCAAAATTCTGTTAGATTTCTTTTCCATCCACGTACAGCTTTGCATCTGTTGCCCAACCTCCTACCTTCATGTTGGTTCTCTCTGCATTTACTTTCAATCCAATTTTTGCTGCTTCCTGGTCTACCTGTGTAAACACAATAATTCCATTCCGTAGCATACTTATAGAGCAATGTTGTTGGTAAAGTCAGGTCCAGTGACTCATCTCAACTAATCCATTTTGCACTGTCCACAATGTCTTTAGTTGCTCGCTTCATCACCCCATTTATTACTAAAGCAAAAAAGCTTGTTAATAACACACACCTTTGCCTAACTCTAGTCACAATATCAAACAACTCATCCAGGCCTGTATCTGATCACTGCCTTCTTCATTCTATTCAGCATAACAGTAGCCAATACTTTGCCAGGATTGATAGCAGTACAATACCTTTCCAGTTCATGCACTGTCACTTTCTGGGGTGCAATTCAGACCAGTTATGGGTTGTGTCACCACCTGCCCTGTAGCCTTGGGTGCCTGTGCCTCGCAATGCTTGGCTGTTGTAGCTCCCAATCAGGGCCACTCACAGCCAGCCTGCGGGCCACACCCCAAGTGTCTGTGGGCTAGAGCCCTAGTTTAGCAGCTCTGACCCCAGCAGCCTGTCCACAGCCGCACTCTGGCCTCCACTAGTCTTGGTTACTTCTTGTAAGGTGACCCTAACACACTCCCAGTCCCAAATTTTCCCAAAACCATGTGTTCTTCAGTGTCCAGCCCTCTCCTGCACAGTTCAGAGCAATAACTTAGTTCATTTGTTCCACTAAAGACACAAACATCACAATTTAAGTTAACAAGGCAGGAGGTAGTAATACAGTCTTCCATTTAAACACACCGAGTTGTTTTATGGTAACAAAGAAATACTATGTATATTTATTAATAAAATGTATTACATGAGTTCAAGTACAAGGAATGAAGATGGAGTTACAAGTAATAAGAAAAAACAAAATGCTTCTAAAAGTCTAAAACTCAATCTAGCAATATACAGGCTTTGTTCAAAATGATTTCTCTCAGTCACTCATCTTCCCAGCCATGGCTGACCTTCCCTCAGTCAGGACCTTCCACAAAAGTACAAGATGCTGGCTTCCCTGGTCTTCTTAGGTGAAAGAGCTTTGCCTAAGCAGGTTTCTCACCTATGTTCAGGTCCAGAGACATCAAATGCACCCCCCACCACCTCCCTTGGTTGAAGGACTCATCTTTCTCAGTTTGCGAGAGCTCTGGCCTCTTTGTGTCTGTCTAGTGATGGGATGCCAAAGATGGCTTCTGGCCTTGCTTATATCTCCCAAAGTTCAATGACCTTACTTCAAGAGGCAGGATGACCTCATGCTGTTCTTCCCTTTCTGTGGGCTTCCCATCCCCCTGTATGTAAATGAGGCTTCCATGGTTTCTGATTCCATCATGCTTATTTTACATAGAAGACAGGTAGATAGCTGTAATATTCTTCTCCTGTCTGGACAAACTGTACAGCCTCATGCCAGTGAGTATCCATAATTCTAATACGTACATTTCATAATGATTTAATCACCAGTGTGTCATTAACTTTCAGAAAAGGCTTCATTGTATACACTTATAATACAGGAACATTGTATAAAATCAGTTGATCATCACTTCATGTTCATCTCTTCCCCCCTCCCCCATATTTATAGATCAATAAATCTTTGAAACGGATTCTTTAAAAAGTAAAGCATGGTCTGGGTTTCTGTCTCCAGCTGGGTGTAGATGCCATGTTGTCTTTTACACACACACACACTTGTTACAGTGAAGTTTGCCTCCACCCTTTGTTAGCTTGATGGTTCTGTTTACAGGTAAACAGATGTAAACACATTCCTTTCTTTAACAACTCCCCAGACACACCCGATTTACACAAACTTTAGTTATAATTCCAGAATATATTCATAAATTCTTAATACCCATTGTGTACATATGTCACACAAGAATATTAATCATCAGTGAGTCCTTAATTTTCAAAAGCACATTTTGTACAAAGATTACTACAATAGCAAGTAGCGCGTGAATACAGGTGTTCTTAGTGTCGCCCTGAGTAACACCACCCTTTTTCGTCAATGCCACAATGATGCCATCTTTTCAGAGATGGAGGCAAGATAGAAATGTTTGGGTTCGGGGAAAGGTTGCAGAGGCAGAAGCAGCACCACAGCGGGCAGATCATAGACTAGTGAAAGACCTCTCAGGAAGAGCTAGACTGTCACAGGTGATGCCCTTCAGGGACTCTCATGGATAGATGTTGAAAATGCATGAAGAACAAGCCAGACTGTGGAAAGAACATTTCTATTCCATATTAAGTTGTCCAGAGGACACAATCATGCCCAAGTTTGAGAGAAATGCCAATGTTAAGTTATTTGCAGCATTGCTCAGTTAGAAACAGAAATACTAAGAAATAGAAGAGGTACCAACAACACCCAATGAAATCAAAGCAGCCCTCACACAGTAAAGCTCCTGGGGTGATAGAATTTCACCTCCTTCCTTTAGGGCAGTGGCTCTCAAACTGTTTTACTGGTGACCCCTTTCACATAGCAAGCCTCTGAGTGCGACCCCCCTTATAAATTAAAAACACACATTTTATATATTTAACACCATTATAAATGCTGGAGGCAAAGTGGGGTTTGGTGTGGAGGTTGACAGCTCGCGACCCCCCATGTAATAACCTCATGACCCCCGGAGGAGTCCTGACCGCCAGTTTGAGAACCCCAGCTTTAGTACCTCTGCTTGAATTCTGATTCAGCAGCTAACAAAACCTCAATGAATTACCCCATTTCAGTAACATAATTTGTCTGGAAATCCAAATGCACATCTCTTTTCCTCAGTTACTATTTGTTTGTGTCAGGTGCTTGAACCCTGTATAGAGATGTAAAGGTGTTTTTTTTCCTGAATCATGTTAACAGATAGACATTGATTCCGGACAGCATATAAAGGGTTGGGATGTGCTTGTCTGAGAAGAGAGAAACGGGCAGGGATAGAGTTTTGCCCTCTAGGAACAACCAAACTCAGGAGAAAGTTCAGGTTTCAACTTACATTTTGTTGTCATTTTTAAGTTAAAAATAAATGCAAATCTTGGAAAAGGAGTATGCTTGAACTATAACCATTATGCATATGCTCTCAGAGCCGGGTGAAAATTCCTCCTGCTTACATTTACTCATCACACTTTATAACTATCCAGAATACAAAGAAACAGCCATTCCCTGACCTGCTATTTATAGAGGAGATTAACTATTTCCTGTTTTTCACCAAGAGAGCTCTTAGTACAACGACCAGGAATAAATGAGCAAAATAGTAATGCACACTCCTCTAGAAAGAATACATTTGACCCAAATACTCCCACTAGAATGATTGGAAATCTTATAAATAACTTGGCAATTTAAATGTGAATCAGCAGGTCAACAATGAAAACCCAGCTAAAGTGCCTTCATTGTGCCATTGCTTTGTATGTTATTATGGGCCTGCTGTTCCAGTTTGAGTTGTGTAACCATGGTTAACATAATTGCAATATGCTTGTGAAACAATAAAAGCATATGCTGCTTAATTAACAAGAGAAAAGTCAACCTGTGAAGTAGATTTTTCTTAACTCCTGTATGTATGCCCTGTTTTGCCCGCTATATTTTGTTTTTTATAGAATATCTATTTATTACCCACTAA